AAGGACCACTGAGCACCTGAGGCACTTCCCCTTTGCCCAACAACTCCCAGAGAAATCCTTAGGGCGGAGAACAGGGAATGTATCTAAGGCACAACAGGCTTACGAAGGCCTCAAGACATGAGCCTGTCTTGCATTCATTTTGTGTCTCAGCACATTACTTCTGACAATGCAGTGCCTGCACCCAGGACCAGCGTTATTATCTGACTGGATGTAGGTTTGTCAGGTGGTAAGAAATGGTTTGGCACGCTCCAGTTTGTATGTCACCAACACTAATATGTGTCAGTATCCTCACCAGTGTGTAAAAGCCCATTCTTCATAAGGTTATTCACAATACATTATATTTTTCTGAGACTGAAATCTGAATGTCAATAGATTCTTATTGTGATTGTCTCATTCCAACCCCAGACTCTTCCGAGGCACAGAAATTCTTTAGGGATTACAAATGTTAATACTAAGCCAAGTTCTCAACTATAGAAGCAAAGAGAATATCATTGGGCCACAATTATTTAGCATTTTAATGTTTTGTTTCTGGGACTTAAAAGAATGCTAAAAGAGCAAATGATTCTTCTGTGGAACACTTTAGAACTTTGGCCATGTCTGTTGAACTCTTTGGAACCTCATTTCATAATATTGCAGAGAAGGTCCCATATAACCCTCATATTCAGATGGAAGTCCACCATACTGATTTAAAAAAAAAATCCATAGGCCTTAATATGGTTGGATACGTTTAGACAAATGCATACACCCAAGTAAACAACATCCTAAAAATAAAGATACAGAACATTGCTAACAATCTGTACATTTTCTCCATGTTCCTTTCCAGTTTTATCCTCTTGTCGAGGCTGCCACTGTTGATTCCCATCACCACACATCAGTTTTGCCTGTTCTTGAATTTCATATAAATGGAATCATGCAGTATGTTCTTTTTTGTGGCTGGCTTCTTTTGCTCAATAGAATGGTTTTCAGATTTATGCAAATTGTTGCAAGTATCAGTAGCAGTTCCTTTTTAAATTTCTGAATAGTATTCTGTTGTATGAATTTACCGCAATGTGTTTATCCATTGTTAACGCAGGAGCTGGTTGGGCACGTGAGGTCACTTCAGTAAAAGAAAATGTAGCAATTCTTGTTCATTCAAATATGCAATCCACACACGCTTTTGCTAGTGATCATACCCAGAGTAAAATCTGATTTTTAATCCTTCAGTTTTCAAAGGGATGAGAAAGAGAACATGAGAAAAATAGGAATCACTTGAAAGTCTGATTCTAAGAAGAAAGCATAAGGAGTAAGAGGATGTATTAGGTGAAGTATCTTCAACAGGAACCCAATTTGCTCCTGGTCCTGGCTCTAGTCAAGGATTGTGAAAAGGCTGAATTAAAGGCAAGTCTAACCTTCCCTCACTGTTATCTTCCTCTTATCTCTCCTAGCTCTTTGACCACTGGTTAAAAATTCTTTTTCTTTGTAAACAATGTAAAGGCTTTTAGTAATTCAAGCAGACCTTGCTTGGTTGGGCATTCTTCTGGAATATGACTCTAGTTCCAATCAGAGTGGTAGTGAAGGCAATAGCACGTATTAAAAAAAAAATTGGGGGAGGGGTCCGTTTCCTTGGACTATGTGAAAGACACATCAAAAAAGCCGGAAGCTTGGGGGAAATGATGCAAGCTATTATGATCTCTCACCATCAAGCACTTGCTGTGTCCACAGGGAAAGAATAATCTAGCAGGTCCTATACAAGTTTCTTTGGATTGTGATTTCTCCCTCAAGATGTTTCAAAACTATTTAGAGAATACACAGACAAATCTAGTTTGATCTAGTTAGTTAAGAAACAAATGAGATCAATCTAGTTGGATCTAATTAGTCCAGTGTCCACAGGAAACATCAATCCAGCTGTGTATGGAGCAAGCAATATTTAAGAAAAGAATAACTGGACATCACACGGAGAACACAGAAAATCATTATTGCAAATTATGTAGGTAAGTAAGAGTTCCTAGTTAGAGATTAATTTTTTAAAAAAGATTGTATTTATTTATCCACAAGAGACACAGAGAGAGAGAGAGAGGCAGAGACATAGGCAGAGGGAGAAGCAGGCTCCACGCAAGGATCCCGATGTAAGACTTGATCCCGGGACTCCGGGATCACGCCCTGAATCAAAGGCAAAGGCTCGACAGCTGAGCCACCCAGGTGTCTCTAGAGATTAATTTTTGAGCTAGTGACTACAAGTTCAAATTTAACAGTTTTGTAATTAAAAAAATTTTTAATGTCACTTGAGTATTATCTCTTCTCAATTGAAAATAGAGTCACTAGTATTTAGAATTTTTAAAAGATTTTATTTATTTACTCATGAGAGACACAGAGAGAGAGAGGCAGAGAGAGAAGCAGGCTCCTCACAGGGAGCCTGATGTGGGACTTGATCCCGGAACTCCGGGATCACGCCCTGAGCTGAAGGCAGACGCTCAACTGTTGAGCCACCCAGGCGTTCCTAATATTTAGAATTAATTGAACTTCAAGTCCTCATTTGGTAGGATTTCCCCAATAGAGCTAATCATCTTTCTGAAGTTGCTATTTCCAGGCAGTAGCTCCCAAACAGAGCTACGTTTGTAGTTACCTAGAAAACATGAAAGATCTCAGTGATCTTTTGAATGGAGGCATGAAGAGTGAAAATCATTCAAATAGTACAGTCTGGGTCAGAAGTACTACAAGAGTACCACACTGGGCACATCCTTATCATTGGCAGCATCCACAGCAGAAATTAATCCAATTTAAAAAGCTAAAATCTTCATAATAAGACTTTTATATCAGGGGACAATTAAAGATGCCATAAATCACAACCAAAGTGCTGATATTACTAAAATAAAGTCCAGTCTCTAATTAACATAAATGCAAAATTTATCTATAACTATACATTTTGGAATTTCTGATATCACTAGATCAACTTTTATTAAAGAATTTAATTTTTCTACTTACGATGTGGCTAAAAGGCAAGAACAAACATTTGTCTTATATAAGATATTTGAAGATTCTGTAGAATTGCAATCACATTTAATGTTGTTAGGAATAAAGTATTCTTTTCTTTTTAAAGATTTACTTTATTTATTTGAGAGAGACAGAGAGAGTGCACGAGTGCAGGGGGAGGGGCAGAAGGAGAGGGAGAGGGTCTCAAGCAGACTCCGAGCTGAGCCTGGAGTCCCACTCAGGGCCCCATCTCATGACCCCGAGATCATGCTCTGAGCCAAGACCAAGAGTCGGATGCTCAACCGACTAAGCCCGTCAGGCACCCTGGGAATAACATATTATTTGATGTCATTTTGTAACTTTCCTGAATATTTACAAGCCAGAGGCATTTCTACAAGAATATGTCAGGTATTGCTCAGGTTGCCTTGTTTTACTCCTCTTATAAAACACTGCCTATGTTTTTTAACCAAAGTTTTATGGACCTCTGTTTTAGTATAAAAATATAGTTGTTGAGGTTTTTTTTTTTTTTCATCCTCAATTCTCAGGATATACTAAATTAAATCCAGATATTCACATTGAGATACAACCAAGAATTCCTTTATCTTAACCATGGCTTCTTGGCCAGAGGTAGGACTCCATCCCACACCTGCCCAAGAAAGCTGTAGTCCATAACTGTCTAGCTCTCTTGGAATGAAACGTATAGTCTGGAATTTCCAGGAAGAATGCACATGCAAGGATTGGCTAATGGGCTCCCAGGTGGGCAAGCAAGGCTGTCCATTGTCACAAGCTCCCCAGTCCCCACCAGGATCAGCTGCCCTACCTCATCTTCCTCATGTGTGAGTCATTGCTGTGCTTTTAAAGATAAAAACCAAGAGTAGGAGCACTTATCTTCCATAGAAACACAAAATGGACATGCTTTTCCATTATGCTTGACTCCGTAACGAAAGCTCTAGGAAGTGAGTGCAGCATGAACTCATTCCTTCCGCCACAGCAGACAGATGGATAGAGACATTCCAGTTTGTTTCCAGTCTTTTGTCTTCAGAGCATTTTTGGCATTTCCTTCAGGAAACTGGAGGTTGTGACCTAAGGTTTCCTTAGTGAACACACTTCTGTTTCCCACAGTTAACCTTACCCAGAAATGACATCGACTCTGTTAGGTGAGGTTTATCTTCATGTCCCAACTGTGTCCTGTGCATATTCAGTGACAGTTGGAAGCACAAATTCTGAATGTAATAATAGGACTAAAGAGCCAAACACACCAAAATCCTTCGAATTAATCGCCAACAAAGATGACAGTTATGTTCAAACAAAAATGAACTATTAAGGCAATTCTGTGATGCTTACAAAGTGCCCTTGCTCTCACTGTGGAGTTGGAGAAAGTAATGGCTAGGATGTTAAAACTTTCAAATCCTGGTAATTGAAAGTTTTCAGATATGAGGTGTATACTGCTCCACCTACATTCGTTCTACAACTTGCTACTTCATTGAGACTGTACAGTCCCATGCTGTTCCAAGGACAGTCTGGGAGAAGCCAAGACAGTGTCCTGGAAAAAAATTAGGTGATTTGATATATTATCTGCTGTATGTATATCTCCATTTCCCCAGCATGTTGGTGGAAAGCCAAGAATGTAAGCTTTTGTTGATGGGTTTGCAATGACCATTGAGTTTCATAATTTAAATTAGATTCACAACCAGGTCACTGTATATTATTTCTTTAAAAACTCATGTTTTAGGACGAGAATAATCGCATATAATTTAGTTTGGCTTGAATGCAATTTAAAACTCCGCTGATTATATTTACTTGTCAATGTGGTATTCAGAGGTTGGTGGTTTTCATCTCATTTTTTACTACTCTTCAGTGTAAACTTATTGAAGTTTCTCTTCCTGAAAAAGATAGAGTGGTTTTTAACAAACCACATTTTTTTTCACACCCTACTTTATCAAGGTAAAATCCTTTAAAAGAGTAACAGAAATTTGCCCATAACTTTGGTTCTAAAGAGCCACATAGTCAAATAGGATCTTAATTATTTTTATAAAATGTTCTTCACAAAGTAATCTTTAAAAAAATCAGTTTATTAATGTTTAAAAGTTGATAAAGCTATGTGCAAAATGATCCACAAAAGTCAGAAACCTATTAAATACTATTTTTTTTAAAAAGACATTTCTTGGTTTAATTGCACTGAAAACCATACTAAAGAGACAGCAATATATTTTTATTTTTTGTAACATTTATACACATCTTTAATGAACTATTTAATGAACAGCTGTATTGAAAAACTTCTGGTATTCCCTATCAGTTAAAGTAATGCTTTAATGGCACAAGAGGGTTGTATTTTCTTAGGAAATACACGTTCAACGGTGTTAACGCAGGTTAGAAAAATCCAATAAAATGCTCAAACAAATACATTCAAAAATCACAGAAAGTACTTTTAACACAACAAAATACAACCATCCTGTTCGTTGAACTAAGTCACACAACACTCTGAAATAAACATCAACAAAAGTGCCAAAGACAGATGTTGTATTCATTAGACAGATCCATTAAGAAATCTCTCTTGGTTTACAGTCACCACCACCCCCCGTCAGTTTTCACCTCGTTTTGCTAGTTTGTTCCTCCTGGGACACTAAGGACCCTGCCTAATACCATGTAGATAAACTGGACTTCTTTAGGCAGATTTCAGCCACCATGGATAATGATGCTGCTATCACACATTTCATCGTCATGTTGTGAAAGGGGAAAAAAAAAAAAAGAAGAAATCAAAGTGACTTTAATGAAATTCCCCAAAACTGATCTGGCTTACATGGAAACTTTGGCCTCAGCAAATAAAACGGCTTTACATCTCCAAACCATCTCCATCCCTCACAGTCTACGTCCTGGACACAGGCTACCTGCTACAGACCCCCCAGAAGTGGACTATACCACCTCCCCCCCAGCTCCCCCAGCTCTGATGAAGGCCAGGTAGTTCAGATGGAAAGTAAGAGAATTCTGAGGAGGGGTTTGAAGGGCGAGGGAGGGTGGGATACGCAGAGCATACCCAGGGCAGCAGAAGTGCACACAATCACTTGGGCTGGAAACTAAGGTGAAGGAAAACGTCTCCTCAAAGCTCCCGACAGATGCTTTCACACTGGGACCAGGGCCACACTGGGAACCCTTCAGGAGCTTGACGATGCTAGACCTTTGGCTCAGTGCAAAATCAAAGCTCCGGGGCGGGGGTTAGGAAACAGCTTCCAGGCCAGGGCCGGGTCTCCACCCTTCCCAGTGCATTGTTCACAGGAACTAAGCCACCAACACCCCGGCACCCCCGGGCCTGCCCGCCCTCCCTCTGGCTCCCAGCGGCTCCTCCCCAGCAGCAGTGGAGACAGAGATTTTTTTTTTTCCTTTTTTTCCCCCCCAAACCCTGGGTGGTGGTGGGTGACCACGCAACAACTCTCCCCATGGGCCGGCGGCTTTCAGTTCTAGGAAGAAGAGTTGACATTTCCAGAGGACATAACGGTCTCCGGGTTGTCCCCATCGTCCTTCTGCGGGTGGGAGGAGTTGTCCGACTTACTGCGGCTGAACTCCACGCCGGCAATGATGGGCCGCTTGAACTTGCCCGCGGGGTCCCCGCCCGGGCACTTGCAGCAGGACAGGATCCGGATGAAGGCCCGGCGCATCTCCTTGTTGGTCAGGGTGTAGATGATGGGGTTGGTGCCCGAGTTGAGCACGGCCAGCACCAGGAAGTACTCGGCTCTGAAGAGGATGTCGCACGTCTTCACCTTGCAGCCCACGTCCAGCAGCAGCAGGATGAAGAGCGGCGCCCAGCAGGCGATGAAGACGCTCAGGACGATAATGACGGTCTTGAGCAGGGCCAGCGACTTCTCGGAGCTGCGGCTGGCCTTGGAGATGTTCTTGCGGAAGGTCAGGCGGCGGCTCCGAGTCCTGACCAGGGAGTAGATCCTGCAGTACAGGATGACGATGGCGAGCAGGAGCAGCGTGAAGACGGTGGTGCAGAAGAGGATATAGTGCTTGTGGTAGAGCGGCAGCACGGTGGAGCAGCTGGCCAGCGCGCCGATGCAGTTCCAGCCCATGATGGGCAGGCCGCCCAGGACCAGGGAGATGACCCAGCAGGCGCTGATGAGCAGGAAGGAGCGGAAGCTGTTGCTCCCGTTGTGGAGTTTCATCTTCAGCATCGTGATGTAGCGCTCGATGGCGATGGCCAGGAGGCTGAACACGGAGGCCGACAAGGCCACGAACATGCTCCCCTCCCGCAGAAACCACTGAGCCGGGGTGAGCTTGTAGGTGGTGGCGCCAGACAAGAGCAGGTTGGCCGTGTAGGCCACCCCCGCCAACAGGTCAGACAGGGCCAGGTTGCCGATGAAATAGTACATAGGTCGGTGGAACTTCTTGGTTTTCCAAATGGTCAGCAGGACGAAGATGTTCTCTAGGATGATAAAGCAGCAGATGAGGATGAACACCACCGAGCTCATTTTAATGCCATTCTCCTTGTCCGCGCTGGTATTCAGCTTGCCCGTGTAGTTATAGTGCCGGACGATGATATCGTAGTTGACGTAGTCGGAGACGGGACTGCGCAGGGCCTTGACCAGCGGGATGCTGGTAGACCCCATGGCGCGCAGCCGCGCCTCCCGGAGCCCGGGGTGGCGCTTCTCCAGAAGGGCGCTAGAGGGCGAGGCCGAGCGAGCCTTCACTTGCCGCGGGGGTGCTCCGGCCCGAGGGATCCCGGCTTTTCTGCGTCTCTTTTCCTTGGCTGGAGAGGGCCTCGGAAGCCGACCCCTTTAAACGAGTCACAAAGAGGAGAGAGTCAGGGAAGCGGCCACAGCACACTGGCATCATTTATTCTAGCTAAGGCATTGCTCCAGTTTTGTCGCGGATTTGTTTTAAGGAAACTTGGGGGAAGCGCAAAGAGTGGAATTAAAAAAAAAAAAAAAAAAAAAATATATATATATATATATATATATATATATATACATAAATAAAATAAAATGCCTATTTCTTGCAGAAAAAAGCGGAGAGGAGGGAGAAGAAACAAAAATGTACCCAAACAGAAAACTCCAACTGGACAAGACGAAAACTCTCCTGTGCCACATCCAAATGGGAGTGGGAAAACTGGAGAAGTGATCCCCATTTATAACACCTCCCCCACCCACACACACACACACCCTCACTTCCCCACCTCCAACCCCCTCCAGGTTTCCAGCGTGGAGGTCTCCTGAAGCATTCGCCGGCTCCCCAGCGGGTTCCCTCCTCCGAAGAGACCCAACCGCTAACATGAGGGTGGAGGCTCACACCACCTCTGCTCTCCCCCACCCCCCTGCTAAAAGAGCTGAGAACCACCTCCTAATTGCCTTGCAAGACATTCGATTTGCACGAAAATCATTTGACAGAGTAAGTCATTCTTTGGGCTCTATTAATAACTCTCTAGGAACAGGTGTGCTCAGGGTCCGAGGGGTGTGGGCAGCCGAGCCCGCCCCGGCCTTGCGGTAAACAGGAAAGCTTACACTTCTGTGAAGCAACTGCCTTTTCTTAATTTCTTCTTCTAGTTTTTTTTTTTTTCCTTGTAAGCCAGGGCAAGAAAAGATGAAGAGAATTCAGTGAAGATCGTTCATAAGAGCTTGCAATAAATCCCAGGAATGTAATACATTCACTGATTGTCTAAGGAGTATGTTCAGTTGCTGTGGGTTTGGCCAAACCACACACAGGCACACACACAAAAGAGAGAGAAGTTCTACTACTAACGGTGACAATACATGCCACTGCATTTCTGATTCCAAGTGCAAAGCTTCTGTCCAGAAAAAAAAAAAAAAAAAACCAAAAACGCACGTTTAATGCATTGCTGAACCGAAGCTGGCGGTTTCGTGCACTGCCCTTCCCCAACATGCTACCTCCTGTCTCAGAACTAGAAAGTGTGGAGGAACGAAACATGGCACTGGCTTCCAGTCTACTTGTAACGCTTCCAGATACCGCCGCCACGGGATGGAAGTGGAGTAACAGAGGCCGTAGTCCCGGACGGCGGGGGCTGCTCGTGCCCAAGCCCCGCGTCTCTCGCATCTAATCCCACGCCCCGCTCGCCCCCCGTGCAGATGTAGCCCCTGACCCCCCACCTCCCATATTCTTTGTCTGTAGGACTTTTCCGAGTGCCCCGCTCCGCGACCAACCGCAGTTGCCACCGTCCCCAACCCCTGCTCCGCTTTACGATCGCACTAAACCCGTTTTCCCAACTTCATCAATCACCAGCGCCCCAGGAACAATCCGACCGGGTTGGGCTCCTCAGCAGCGCAGGGATGAAAGCCTCCGGCGCCCAGAGAGGGATGTTTCAAAAGTTTTTGTTTGGCTTCGTTCCGCTTTCAAAGACATTCATTTCCAGCAGCGAAGACCTCCCGCGGCGGGGCCCCCCGCGCCCCGGCCCGCGCGGGCTGGGCGCCGTCCCCTACCTGGCTCAGGCGGGGCGCAGCCGCGTGGGGAGAGCTCCGGGTCCCCGCGGCGCGCTCGGCATCTTGCAGCCGCTGCGGACGGGCTGGACGCGCTGCTGCCTCGTCGCCTCGGGGTCCCCTCCCTCCGCAGCCGCGCACTCCAATGGGCAGCCCGCCCCGCTCGGCCCGCGCCGGCCGCTGCCTGAGCCGCCGAGCGCCGGCGGAGGCTGGTGGCCTCGCGAGGAAGGGGCGGGGAGGGGTTAACACCAACCCCACGCCCTCCGCCGCGGCGGGGGCCCCGATCCCCGCGCCGGACCTACTGTCCAGGAAAGATCAGGGGCAGAGGCGCGCGCGCGCACACACACACACACACACACACACGCACATGCACACACTCCTCCCCCACAGACAGCCGGAAAAAAAAAAAGAAAGAAAGAAAGAAAGAAAAAGCAAACCGAGAAGGGACGGAGGCTGGTGCCCCCTGGATTCTGATGCATAAATCACGGCCTCGCCTGCTGCCCGCCGCTCCCCGAGACCGTTGGCCCGAGTCTTACCGAGAGAGGAGGTGGGGAAGCCTCGGGACCCCCACCCCCACCCCCACCCCCCAGGTCTCGGGGGCAGGGGCAGCCCGGCGCCCCGCAGCGCCCCTCCAACGCCCCCTGCACGCGCGAGCCTCGGCGGGGCGGGCGGGGCAACCAGGGCGCGCGACCCGGGGCAGCGGGGGCACGGGGGTCCTTGCCGCCTCCCCACCCCCATCCCTTGGCTGCCCCGACACTTGCGGTCCGAGCGGCAGAGGGTGGCTTTCCCGGGCTCACGGCCGACCGGCCCGCGTCTGGGGAGCCCCCCCGGGGGGTGGGGGTGGGGTCCCCTCATTCCGCTGCGCGCAGAGCCCGGCCGGGGTCCCAGACTCGGGCCCGCGGCGGGACGTCCGCGGAGGTGGGCACGGGCCGGGGCCTGGGAGACTGGGCGCGTGGGCAGCCCCAGGGACTTCCGAAGGGAAGGACGAGCCGCGGGGCCCGGCCAGCCTCGCGGGGGCCCGCGCCCTTCGCTCCTTTCCCCGCGGGGCCGCAGCCCCCGGTGCTCCCCGCACGCCCACCCGGGTCTTGCAAGGAGAAGCCCCTCGAGGAGGTGAGATTGGGGCGGCGAGGGCGGCCCTGGACCCCGGGCGCAGGGCTCTCCTGGCCCGGCCTGCAGCCGCGCAGAAGCCGCCCACCCGCCCCTGGCCCCCGGCCGCCCATCCTGGCAGATGTGAACGCAAAACTTCTCCGTGTGCAGTTTCAATTGACAGACACACCCTGTACCTGAATGACTCAGAAGGAGTCTAAATGAATAAACAGACCCCTGGCTTCTGGGATCTTATGAGTTTGCAAAAGAAGAAATTAAGTGACAGTTAAAATCAAGTTCACAGCTGCCTGAAAGTCTTCAGCAACGGAATTGCACCGGGCACACGGCCACGAGTTCAACAACAGTACCTGCCTATACCACCCAGAAACTAAGATAACGGTCCTCTAGATCTAGAATAAGCTCTGCTTGGGTCGGGGAGTTACTTTATTTAAAAGAAGGGACGGGGATCCCTGGGTGGCGCAGCGGTTTGGCGCCTGCCTTTGGCCAAGGGCGCGATCCTGGAGACCGGGGATCGAGTCCCACGTCGGGCTCCCGGTGCATGGAGCCTGCTTCTCCCTCTGCCTCTCTCTCTCTCTCTCTCTCTCTCTCTCTCTCTCTCTCTCTCTGTGTGACTATCATAAATAAATAAAAATTTTTAAAAAAGGGACGTGTTGAGTCTGCCCTGCACAACATAAGGTGGGGAACTTGGCAAAATCCATCCCATCCACTCATTTATGAGTTCTTTAAAGGGAAAGGAATTGCAGGGAATTGCACACCCAAACTCTACGTATCATGATGGATTATCTAATTTAAGCAGGCGTTGTTGGTCATTCTATTGATGAGAAAATGTCACTCAGCTTAAATCACTAGATATCCCAGCTAGTACGCAGTGCTGGGTTCCCCAACTTAGTGCCATGTCTCCCAGATGTCATGTCTCCCAGTTCAAATACCTTCAGTCAATAAACAAGGAACTGAAAAGCATATGCTCCCCAAAGGGAAGCAAAGCCTAGCTTTAAAATTTTTTAATTACCCTAATCTCTTGACTCTACATATGTATAAAATATATACAAATATATGCTAACGAATGTCCTTTTAAAACCACTTATTTCCTGACTATGCAAGTCTACAAAACATATCCAAAAGTTTTGCTAATAAATGTCTTTTTTTCACCATGAAGCATTTTTTTGCTGAAATGTTTTGTTAAATTTCTTTTTATTAAATTATTAAATATCACATTATTTATTAAAATAAACCTATTTCTATTTTTACCACCTTTTAAATTATTAAGACTTTCTTTTTAAAGACTGTATTTTCTTTCAGATTTTTTTTTTTTTTAGATTTATTTATTTGAGAGAGAGGAGCATGCACATGGGGTGGGGAGAGAGAGAGGGAGAGAGTCTTGAGCAGACTACTCCACACTGAGCAGGGAGTCCGAAGTGGGGCTTGATTGCACAACCCTGAGATCACCACCTGAGCCAAAACCAAGAGTCAGATGCTCAACCAGTCACACCACCCAAGTGCCCCAAGACGCTTTCTTAAGAGCAGTTTTTAGGTTCACAGCAAAACTGAGTGGAAAGTACAGACATTTTCCATATCCCCCATGGCCCACCCATGCATGGCCTCTCCCACTGTCAATATCCCCACCAGAGTGGTACATGTGTTACCATAGATGGGCTTACACTGACACATCATGACCATCCACAGTCCATAGTCTACATTATGGTTCACTCTTGGTATTATACATTCTATGGGTTTGGACAAAGGGATAATGACATGTATCCATGAATACAGTATCATATGGAATATTTTTACTGCCCTAAAAACCCCTCTGTGTTCTACCTATTTATGCCTCCCTTCCCCATGAATGTCTTTTTTAAAACCACTGATTTTCTGACTATATATTTCCTGACAAAGTGTATACAAAAGTATAATACTGAATGTATCTTAAAACTTCACATTATCTACCTATCACGTCTAATGTAAGGTTGTGTATTTGGGTAGCAGATTCTAAGTATTACACATATTAATTCATTTAATTCTTCCAATGACCCTACAAATTAGGAATTATTATTACCCCAATTTTACAAACAAGGAAACTGAGTCTCAGGCATATTATATTAAGTAAGTTGGTTAACGTGGGCTGTGACCATAGATGGGCTCTATCCTCTTAACCACTAGCCCAAACCACCACGATAAACCTCAAACATGTCAAAGAATTATGCAGGGGAAATCAGTCTTTTTCTTGTGTATAAGCAGTATACATGGTGAGGACAACACTCATTCAGTGTTAATCCAGTGTCTTAAAGAGCTCAAATACTTTGCAGATGATTACTTAGAAATATTCATCCTTATACACACGGATAAGATGTAAAATGTGGATGACCACTCCCAAGAAATTGGAAAGTAGGCAAAACTATTTGCAGCAATAGCTTCCCTGCCAATTCCAAGTCGCTGGTTCCCACACATATCTCTTCCCATTACTCTCAGGAGAGGCCCTAAGAATTGCATCCTCAAGCTATCTCCTGGCTCTCAGCCCAGGTCCCTTTCCGCCGCTGACTGGAAGGCCAGCCCAGGGTTTTACCTTACTTCTCCTGGCAATGAGGTTACCATCTGATGCCCAGTTACCCTGAGGTTGCTCCATTCTGCATTTCTTTAATTTATTTATTTGTTTGTTTGTTTATTATTTATTTCCATTTTGTATTTCTTATTTCAAAGCCACTTTACTCTTCTTTATGCATTAGCTTTGCTATCTCTCCTTATGGGTTGCCAGTGAGAATACCATGTAATAATTGGGACTTCTACTAAAAACAATTATTTGTCCCCAATCGGCAATTCAGATTTAACTGAGAGAGCTGTATTTTTATTTGCTGAGTCTGGCAACTGTCCTCTCCTTCCTAAATGCTCCAGGTACTTTCCAATTCTCCCCACAATCCCTTGTGAAGATCCAGCCCTCCCCTTCCAACATTTATTCCTAGGAGAATAGCTACCCTCCTGCTTAGTGCAGAAAACACTATCACCACTTCCCTTCCTCTCCTGTAAGTTCATAACAACTTCACTCACCCTTATTTCCTCTCCGTTGTTTTACTCCTTCCCAAGGCAAACCCTTGCCCATACCACTGTGCTACCACCTGCCCCCTGCCCCGAACTTTCTAAGATGTGACTCAAGTACTCCTTCTCTCTCTTGTACTCTCAATTCTTGGCCTCTGATGACTCTCTATTTTCAACTTACATTAATATTTATGTGTTGCCTCTACCAAAAACTCACTGTCTTCCCGTCATACTAATTAGGTCCTGATAGAAATTTCTCTTCTCTTGTTTGTCACCACTCAAAACTCAAAAACTGTCATACAGTGGAACATGACTGTCTTAGATTCAGACTTCATACTGCCTGTTCCCACCTGGGTCACTTTGGACAAGTTCTTTCAATTCATTGAGCCTCAGTTTCCTAATCTCTTTCTCTTACTTCACAGTGTTCCAGAATTATACAA